GAGCTCCCTATGGGGCCACGAGACGTGTGAGGGGTGTGCCGAATTGGGTGTGCGTGACGCATGCGGGCGGCAGCACGGGGGCCTTCGGCGGAGCTCCCTATGGGGCCACGAAACGTGTGAGGGGTGTCCCGAATTGGGCGTGCGTGACGCATGCGGGCGGCAGCACTGGGGCCTTCGGCGGAGCTCCTTATGTGGCCACGAAACGTGTGAGGGGTGTGCCGAATTGGGTGCGCGTGACGCACGCGGGCGGCAGCACTTGGGCCTTCGGCGGAGCTCCTTATGGGGCCACGAAACGTGTGAGGGGTGTGCCGACTGGGGTGTGCGTGACGCATGCGGGCGGCAGCACTGGGGCCTTCGGCGGAGCGAGCTCCTATGGGGCCAACGAACGTGTGAGGGGTGTGCCGAAGTTGGGTGTGGGGGACGCATGCGGGCGGCAGCGATTTTGGGGGCCTTGGCGGAGCTCCTATGGGGGCTACGAAACGTGTGAGGGGTGTGCCGAATTGGGTGTGGGTGACGCATGCGGGCGGCAGCACTGGGGCCTTCGGCGGAGCTCCTTTGGGGCCACGAAACGTGTGAGGGGTGTGCCGAATTGGGTGTGGGTGACGCATGCGGGCGGCAGCACTGGGGCCTTCGGCTGAACTCCTATGGGGCCACGAAGCGTGTGAGGGGTGTGCCGAATTAGGTGTGCGTGACGCATGCGGGCGGCAACACTGGGGCCTTCGGCGGAGCTCCTAAGGGGCCGACGAAGCGTGTGAGGGGGGGGTGTTGCCGAATTTGGTGTCGGCAACGCAATGTGCGGGCGGCAGCGCTGGGGCCTTCGGCGGAGCTCCCTGGGGCCACGAAACGTGTGAGAGTGTGCCGAATTGGGTGTGCGTGACGCATGCGGGCGGCAGCACTGGGGCCTTCGGCGGAGCTCCTATGGGGCCACGAAACGTGTGAGGGGTGTGCCGAATTGGGTGTGGGGGACGCATGCGGGCGGCAGCACTGGGGCCTTCGGCGGAGCTCCTATGGGGCCACGAAACGTGTGAGGGGTGTGCCGACTTGGGTGTGGGTGACGCATGCGGGCGGCAGCACTGGGGCCTTCGGCGGAGCTCCTATGGGGCCACGAAACGTGTGAGGGGTGTGCCGAATTGGGTGTGGGTGACGCATGCGGGCGGCAGCACTGGGGCCTTCGGCGGAGCTCCTATGGGGCCACGAAACGTGTGAGGGGTGTGCCGATTGGGTGTGGGTGACGCATGCGGGCGGCAGCACTGGGGCCTTCGGCGGAGCTCCCTATGGGGCTACGAAACGCTGTACTGGGTGGGTGAAACGCAGGGAAGAGGGGGAGGAGGGAGGAGGAGGGGGAGGAGGCAGCGGGAGGAAGGAAGGAAGGAGAACGCGGGGCACCGTCTCTTCAAAACGAGGACCCAACACCACAGGATGGTTGGGAACTAAACGAGCGAGCGCCAAGCAACAACGACGACGACGACGAGTCAAGTGATGGTTTAAGCAGCGAGAGCGCGAGTAACAATTTAGGCGGAGATCAAGATAAAGTTTTAATCCGCGAGGGAGCGAGTGACGATTTAGGTGGAGATCCCAGCACATACCCCCAGCACACACTCGCACAGCACGACCCCCAACACAACCCCCTCTCCGCACAACCCCCCTCCGCAAAATCCCGCAGCACACACACCCAGCACTACCCCCAACACCCCCCCCCCCAGCACAACTCCTCAGCACAACCCCCCCAGCATCAACAGCCCCCCCCCCCCCTCCCAGCACGACCCCCAACAGCACAACCCCCCAGCACAACCCCCTGCACACAACCCCCTCCTCAGGCACAACCCCCCCCCCTCCAGCACGACCCCCCAGCAACCCCCCAGCACAACCCCCCAGCACAACCTCCCAGCACAACCCCCCAGCACAATCCCCCAGCACAACCCCCCAGCACAACCCTCCAGCACAACTCCCAGCACAACCCCCTGGCACAACCCCGCACAACCCCCCGCACAACCCCCCAGCACAACCCCCCCAGCACAACCCCCGGCACACACCCCCAGCACATCCCCCCAGCACAACCCCCCGGCACAACCTGCCAGCACAACCCCTAGAGAGGGCCAATTTAGAGTCTGGAGGTTGTGCTGGAGGTTGTGCTGGAGGTTGTGATGGAGGTAGTGCTGGAGGTTGTGCTGGAGGTTGTGCTGGAGGTTGTGCTGGAGGTCGTGCTGGAGGTTGTGCTGGAAGTTGTGCTGGAGGTTGTGCTGGAGGTTGTGCTGGAGGTTGTGATGGAGGTTGCGCTGGAGGTTGTGCTGGAGGTTGCTGGAGGTTGTGATGGAAGTTGTGCTGGAGGTGCTGGAGGTTGTGCTGGAGGTTGTGCTGGAGGTTGTGCTGGAGGTTGTGCTGGAGGTTGTGCTGGAGGTTGTGCTGGAGGTTGTGCTGGAGGTTGTGCTGGAGGTTGTGCTGGAGGTTGTGCTGGAGGTTGTGCTTTGTGCTGGGTTGTGCTGGAGGTTGTGCTGGAGGTTGTGCTGGAGGTTGTGCTGGAGGTTGTGCTTGTGCTGGAGGTTGTGCTGGAGGTTGTGCTGGAGGTGTGCTGGAGGTTGTGCTGGAGGTTGTGCTGGAGGTTGTGCTGGAGGTTGTGCTGGAGGTTGTGCTGGAGGTTGTGCTGGAGGTTGTGCTGGAGGTTGTGCTGGAGGTTGTGCTGGAGGTTGTGCTGGAGGTTGTGCTGCTGGAGGTTGTGCTGGAGGTTGTGCTGGAGGTTGTGCTGGAGGTTGTGCTGGAGGTTGTGCTGGAGGTTGTGCTGGGAGGTTGTGCTGGAGGTTGTGCTGGAGGTTGTGCTGGAGGTTGTGCTGGAGGTTGCTGGAGGTTGCTGGAGGTTGCGCTGGAGGTTGTGCTGGAGGTTGTGCGGGAGGTTGTGCTGGAGGTTGTGCTGGAGGTTGTGCTGGAGGTTGTGCTGGAGGTGGTGCTGGAGGTGGTGTTGGAGGTTGTGCTGGAGGTTGTGCTGGAGGTTGTGCTGGAGGTTGTGCTGGAGGTTGTGCTGGAGGTTGTGCTGGAGGTTGTGCTGTGGGGTTGTGCTGGGGAGGGTTGTGCTGGGGGGTTGTGCTGGGGAGGGTTGTGCTGGGGGGCCGTGCTGGGGGGTTTTCAGGGCTGCGCTGGGGGGTTGTGCTGGGGGGTTGTGCTGGGGGTTTGTGCTGAGGGGGGCTGGTGGTTCGGGATTTTGCAGGGTGGTGGTGCTGGGGGGGGTGACCCCCCAGCAAAACAAAACGCCAACACATAAGCGGCGCCTGCCCACGAGAAAACAGAACGCCCAACAAAACGTGCGGCAAGCACCTGTGCCAGAACAGAACGACCAACAAAACGGCAGCCCGGTGTGCAAAACGCATGGGCGCGACGGCCGGCGTTCAGAGCATGTGAAAACGTGTTTTGAAACGCGTTCACAACGAAAAGCAACAGTAAAACGGAAGCAGATGGGAAGCAGTAGGAAAACACCGTTTAGGTCGAGCCCTGTTTTGTCAATGGGTATTCCGGTGGAGTTCTGTATGGGGCCACGAAACGTGTGAGCGGTGAGCCAAAATGGGTCGGCACCTCCATGTGAACTTTGCCACTGGGGACTGCGGTGTAGCTCCTTGTGGGGCCACGAAAGGTGTGAGGGGTGAGCCAAATGGGGCGGGGCCGCCATGCGATCTTTGCCACTGGGGCCTCCGGTGGAACTCTCTGTGGGGCCACAAAGCGTGTGAGGGGTGCGCCGAAATCGGGCGGCGCTGCTATTCGAATTTTGCCACGGAGGCCTTCGGCAGAGCTCGCCATGGGGCCACGATGCGTGCGAAGGGTGTGACACAATAGGGCGCCGCCGCCATGCGAACTTTGCCACTGAGGACTACGGTGGAGCTCCCTGTGGGGCCACGAAGGATGTGCGGGGTGAGCCAAAATGGGGCGGGGCCGCCATGCGATCTTTGCCACTGGGGCCTTCGGTGGAGCTCCCTGTCAGGCCACGAAGCATGTGAGGGTGTGCCGGAACAGACACATGCGGAGGGCAAAGGCAGGGATAGGAGGAGGGAGGAGGCGCAGGAGGGAGTTGAGGTGAGTGACGCGGGGCGCTGTCAGACCTAACATCATAGGACGGTTGAGAACAGTGAGTCCCGCGCTCCCAAAGCTACAATCCCCCGGGAACGAAAAACTGCGGCTCCGCGCTCCCAAGGAAACAATCCCTTGCAATCAACGGGTGGCCCGCGCTCTCAAGGCCAAGACCCCACTTGAAAAACAGCGGATCCCTCTTGAAGGAAAGCCAGCCTCAAATCTCTCAGAGAATGCGCCTACGCTTCAACCCCTTCCTTCGGTTTCCTTCGCTTCTTCGCGAACCCACTAACTGACAATGAGCATGCCAGCCAACCAACAAGCTAACCTGCCAACCAGCCTGCCAGCTAGACAACCAACCAATCACAAGACAACTCGCCGCTTGGGCCCCACCGCCAACCCACACGGAGAGCATAAATCGGGCGTAGCCCCGCAAGCATTCGAATGCCCACACTTCGTCCTCGTACTACTCGTAATCCTCCGCGTCCTCCTCCCCATCCTGATCGTCGTCGTCTTCCTCCTCCTCCTCCTCCTCATCATCCTCCTCGTCTTCCTCCTGCTCTAGCTCCTCCTCGTCGTACTCGTCTAGGACCTCGTCTTCGTTTCTCCTCTTCCTCCTCCTGCTCATCCTCCTTCTCCTGGCACCTCGGCGGCCGAGAATAACAAGTTGCGCCACAAAATGCGCCCTCGGCGGCCGAGAATGAAACCGTTACCTATCGGTTGCGCCATGGGCTGCTCCCTCGGCCGCCGTGAGTAAAACCGTATCCGATAGGTTGCGCCACAGGTTGCGCCCTCGGCGGCCGAGAACAAAACTGTCTCCTATCGGTTGCGCCATCGGTTGCTCCCTCGGAGGCCGAGAATAAATCTGTCTCCGATCGGTTGCGCCACAGGTTGCGCCCTCGGCGGCCGAGAATTTTTTCCTCAGCAGCCTGAGTGCGCGCAGCGCGCACGTTCAGTTTCTGCGCCGCGGGCCGCGCGGCAGCCCTGTTGGCCGCCTCTGGAGTCGCCGCAAAACGGCGGCAACTCGACAGGGCAGAGCGGCGGCGACGCAGCAGGCGACGCGGGCGGCAGCTCAGATGGAGGTGGAGCCCGCCGCGACGCCATTACGCGAGTGGCCTCCCCGACGGAGCCACTCCTCTCATGATCTTCTCAGCCTTCCTTCTGCGCTCGGCCTGGGCGCTGGGCTTGAGCGCTGGGGCGCAGGCCATGCCGAGGCCACTGTGCTTGCCCTGCACCTCCTTCGCGTGTTGGAAGCACCTCAGGCAGACGCGGTACCCGAAGTACGTGCGAAGGTCGTGGCCGCCTCCGTCCGCGTCGAGCGAGCCAGAGCCGCTGGGCGGCGGCGCAGCAGGCTGGGCCACAGCGCCCCAGTCGCCTGCCGTCGGCGGCTCCTCGTCAGCACGCACGTCACCGTCACCGATGGATCCCAGAATCTGGGTTTCGCCACGATGCTGAAAGGGGGAGGAGCCCGCCGACGGCTGCGCCTCGTCAGCACGCAGGTCACCGTCGCCGACGGATCCCAGAATCTGGCTCTCGCCACGATGCTGATAGAGGGAGGGGCCCGCCACACTGCTGCTCGCCTCCCCACTGTCGTGGGTGGGCTGGCACTCGTCCTCCACAAAGCGGCGCGCTGCTGCTACCGCCACCGCGGCGGCGCCAGCGTGCGCCAGGGCCGAGGCACTCGGCCGCTTCTTGCCCCCGCTGGTGTAGGCGTCAGGGGCAAAGGCCTTCGGCGTGCAGCTCTGCCTTGGGAGGTTCTTGGTCGAGATGTCGGTGAAGGCCGACCGCAGGCGCCGCAGGCAGTGGAGCGCCTGGACGCCCTCGGCTCCGCCCGCGATCTTGACCAGCTCGTGCTGGGTGATGTAGAGCCTGGGGCCCTTGGTCTCAGGCTCCCTGTACTTGTCGCGAAAATCGATCCTGAGGTCAGCAGCTTCGGCGCCGGCCTGCGACACCCAGAAGGCCGCGCCGTCCAAGGTGAGCGCTCTGGTTTTCCTGGCCTCTCGCACCTGCTCTGGCGCTCGGAAGTGGTCCGTGACGAACTTCGCCGCACGGTCAGCTTCGTAGTTGCCTCGCCGACGTCGTAGTGTGATCTTGCCCTCGTCCACCTCCTTGATGGACGCGTGGCCCTTGACCTTCCGCACCGTGAGGCCGTCGCTGCTGAGGTCGCCGAAGTCGTCCAGCGCCTGCCAAATCCTGCGCCAGATCTCTCCCCAGGCGGACTTATGCGAGGTAGGGGCCTCGCGTCCTCTCTCCATCAAGCCCTTGACCACGTAGTCGGCGTCGAAGTGGGCCGTGATGGGAGGAAGCGAGTGCCTGAGTATTGCATAGAGTGCGAGCAGCTCTGCTCCGTCGATTGACTGGATCGGCCCAGGTAAAGGGGCGCCCATGGCCTTGACGCAAGATCCCTTGCCTGGGTCTTCTTCTTCTGGCCCAGGCGGCAGCTCGACTGCTGCGCGCCCTGCCATAGCCAGCGAAGTGCCAGCCTCGTAACAACATCCGTCGGCAAACACCACGGTGTTGATGAACGGGTCGGCATCTCCTTTGAGCCACCGCAGCTCCTGGAGCAGGTCGTCCTGCGGGGGGCGCCAGTCGCGGCTGGGCTCGGGCAGCAGGAGCCGCTCGAACAGCGTCTTGATAGTGATACTGGACTCGAACTGCTTGAACTTTACCAGCTCCTCTGGTAGCTCGAAACTGGGCCAACTCTCGCAACGCTCCAGGTGACGGTGCCACAGGGTGCCCAGAGAATTCGGGTGCAGCGCACAATACGGCGTAGGAGCGAGCCGCGGCGCTGCTTCGTACCTTCGCTGGTTGAGCCACTGGCCGTGCACCAGCAGCGACCTCGCGTAGCCCCTCTGCTGATCGTCCAGCGGCTTCCACCTGCGGCCCTCGACGGTGGAGGCTTTGCCTGTGCTGAGCCACCTGCGCAACTGTGGGATGAAGGCGCCGTTGATGATGCCCTCGCGCGTGTCAGCCGCTAGCTGTCGTAGCTGCCAGGCCTGCACGTCCTTGCGCAGCACCTGCTTGATGTACCATGGCGAAGAGCATGCGACGTCAATGGCCTCGCAAGTGCTGTGCCTGAGCCACTGGTCGAAGCTGCGCACGTCGTAGCCGACACGCCTGAGCGTCAAGGCTGCCGCAGAGATTAGCCCTCGGACCTCACTCCATGTGCGTACGTGCCTCGCGAAGCCGCCGAACGTCGACTTGAGCACACTTGCGGGAATCCAGCCTTCCCATAGCGCACGTGCAAGGGTGCAAACAGGCGCCAAGGTCGCGCCGTACATCGGGTCGATCTCGCTCGGCCCGCCGAAGACGAGGCAATCAGTGGTGGACTTGCCCTGCGGTCTTGGCTCTATGGCCTTGACGACCAGCGCCCTGGTGTGCTTGAGCTCGCTGCCAGACATCCCAGTGCACGATGCCCCGTACATGATGGTGGGCATAAGGCCTGCGAATGCGACCTTAGCCGCTGCGGCTCGGCCTCGCCGTAGCCCCAGAAGTCGTTTGATGCGAGGGAGCCGCGCCATGGCGTTGGCCATGCGCAGCTTCCGCACCGCACTGGCACGCCGCCCACCTTCAGCATGACCGACGCCAAGGTTGCGTACATTCGACACTGCAACAGCTTCGCAAGCCTTGATGAGCTTGACCTGGGGCCCTTTCCTCAGCTTGGCGCTGCTCGCGAGGATCCGGGGTTTTTTCGTCGCGACCTTGAGCTTCACCTTGCTGAGCTCCTTGACCAAGAGCTTGGTGCTGGCACCCAGGTCCTTCTCGACTTTGCTGGTGCCGCCCCAGCGCTGCACCACCAGGCCGTCCACGACCACTGCGGGAACCACAGCGCGATGCTTGACCGCCATCGTGTCCAACGGAGTGAGGAGCATCACCTTCATGAATGTAGTGGCGAACGCACCGCCTGCCAGCACCGTCTGCATCACCACCAGCTCGTCCGAGCAGCAGCCCTCCAGGCAGACCACGCGGGGCAACCTGTACAGGTTGATCTGCAGCTTGGCCAGCCAGAGCGGGAAGTTGTGGGCCTGGCAGGCCTTCAGGAGCTGGCTGTGCAGTATCTGCTCGAAAGCCTTCCAGAGGTCGAGGAGGATCGACGCCGAAGCCCAGTCGCGCTGCTCGTAGAGCGCGCCCATCATGTGGACCCACTCGGCCCTGGCCTGCTGCTGCCAAACGGCTCTGTCGCAGCTCTTGCCAGCGCTGGCCCACCAATAGGGCCTGTCGTGCTGCCGCTCCCGCTGCTTCGCGACTGGCCGCCGCAACCTTCCGTGTATGCGCGCGGGGGCCCTCAACAACGCGATTGGGCGAAGTCCTCCGTCCGTCTTGGGGATGAAGGCCATCTTGGTGACGAAGTCGGGCCACTCGCACCTCTGCTCGATCACGTCAAACAGGTCGATCATGGCCTCGATGCCTTCGTCGTGCATCAGCTGCAGCTCCCTGGGCCTGAGCGAGTCGAAGGACGCACCCGTGGCCTCCTTAAAGCTGCTGGCCAAGCTCGTCTGGCCAGTCGATGTGGGCCTCCTGGGAGCTGGCGCAGGAGGAGGTGGGGCCCCCCAAGCCCCAGTACCCAGATCATTCCTTCACCATGGCGGTAACCGTCTCCTGGAGGGTAGGAGGAGAGCCGTCGGAAGACGCTCCCGTGGGGCGAGGCGCCCAGCCTTGTGGAGGCTTGGTAAGAGCATGGGGGGCCCCCGTGCCTCTAATGTGATTGTCGATCACCCAGTCGTTGTAGCTCGATGGTGATCGTGTTCAACTTGTGCTGGTCGGTGGTCTGAACCAGGCCGTCGCCCGTCATCTTGCTGAGGACCCGCGGCGCTCGAAGCCGACGGAGGGGAACGTCGACCTGCGCGCAATCCTTGATCGCGATCGCCACCCTCTTGTGCCAGGAGGTGGCCTTGGAGCACTTAGGGGTGCGTGGCGGGCTGGGTACCGCAACCTTGGCCATCTTGAGGCGTGGCCTGGCGGCGCGGCCTGCATAGTCGTCGTAGTCGTGAATCAGACCAACGGCGTCGATGCTGTTCCACTCGGCCTGGTAGACGAAAAGCTGCCAGCGCGAGGAGAGCGAACTCGTGGCCTGCATGGCCTGCCGAGTGGCCTCCCAGGGAACTGAGTGGTCCCTGCTGCAGCACGAGGTAGGCAGCGGGCAGGGCAAGCGCTTAGGGGTCTCCCTGATCTGCATCTTTCTGGCGAAGGTGCTGCCGTCGACCCTCACTTGGACAGGAAAGTGCGGCGCTAGGTTCCAGCCGTGCAGCAGCTTGGCCTCCGCTTCGCCGAATGTAATGCTGATGGCCCAGTAGTCGATGATGCGCCCCCCAGGGCGGCAGGTGCCCTCGACAGCGGCGACCACCTTGAGCTTGAGCGCGCTGAGGAAACCTGACGCCGCCAGCTCCTGCGGCTCCAGATTGAAGTCCCCACCGATGATGATGGGCTTGGCGACCTGCTTAGCCGCGCGGTAGACGGCCTGCAGCACCTGGTAGTTGAAGTCGGACATGCCCACGCTGTCCTTGGGGTAGACATTAAACCAGGCAGCTCCGCCAAGCACGATGCCAGCGAAGTGGGCGACCGAGGCCCTGCCAGGGAAGAGCTCGAAGCCGCTCTTCATCTCAAAGGCGCCGAGGCCATGCGCACGCGGCGCCGGCTGCAGCAGCCCTTCATGGCCGTGGAGGCCAGGGCCCGCGCCCACTGCGGGGCACGCGAGGGCATTCCAGCCCTGCTTCTTGAGCTTGTCGGTCACCTCAGCGCACCGAAAGTCGGAGAGGTGAGTCTCCTGCACCACAATCAAACCAGCGTTGCGCACCTGGTTCTCGTTGAGCAAAGCCTCAAACCTGCTGTAGGCATTGGCGTTGATGGTGAGCGCCGTCCACCAGCGCCTCTTGGCAGAGCTACCCGCCTGCCGTCTTGGAACGCTTGGCTGTGCGGATGGTCTCCATGGCCTCGGCAAGCCTCTTGCGTTCTCCCTCGTCCTGGCAGGAGCCCAGCAGGCCACCAGGATCATCGCCAGCCATGAAAGCGTCGAAAGCCTCGTCGGGCGTGGCCCCATGCGCTGGGCCACCCTCTGCAGCGGCCGCTTCGCCACCTTCAGAAGAGGCTGGCTAATGACCAGCAGGCGACCCGTGCTGCTGCGGCTCGGTTGGCCTGCTGGCGCTGTCAAGCTCATCGACCGCTGCTTGGAGGGACTTGAGGAACTCCGCGAGCGTGATGCCCTCCGTGGGGATCTCTCCGAGCTTGGCCTTGAGCTGCTGCGCCGTGAACGCGCCAGCTGCGGGTGTGCATGCACCGTGCAGCTTCGCCGCGTCCATCTTCGCCGCCTCGAACTCCTTCTCCAGCTTAGCCACTTCAGCCTCCGAGGTAGCAACCGCCTCCAGCATCCTGAGAGCCTTGTCCTTATTGCTTGCCAAGCGGCCCTTCGCATTCTGGAGGGCCCTGGCGGCTTTGTCGACCGCTTGAGGAGCTTCACGACCAGCAGCGCCAAGCAGCCCAGAAGCAGCAGCCCGCCTGGCGTACTCAACCTTCTGCCTTGACGAATGGGACAAGGCATTCTTCGTTTTCTCGTAGATGTCAGCGGGAAGCTCGGACCACTCCTTGACGCCGCTGGGCGTGAGGGTTGCACCTGCGGCAGGCTGCGGCCGTTGTGCCTGCGGGGCTCCTCCTTGCCTGGTCCATGGCTTCCGTCCGCTCTGCTTGAGACCAAACCCCTTGCGCTGCATCCAGAAATCGGCTCCTTTCGGCCCGCCATTCCATGGGCGAGGCGGTGGCTTGGCGTCTCCACAGTTGTTGCACGTCCGTCGGCCCTTGATATTGAACTCACCGCAACTGCACTTCCAGCACTCTGCCATGGCAACGGCACACAGGCGAGCACGGTCAGCAGACACAGGTGTCGAGTGAGTTTGCCGAGCACAGTGGTGCCAGCGAAGAAACTTTGGGCGAGCCGCGGACTAGCGGTATCCGTGTCCTCCACGGGGGGAGGCATGCTCTTGAGCCAAAATGGCTACGGAGCCTCGGCGGCCGAGAATGAAACAGTCTCCTATCGGTTGCGCCGTGAGTTGCGCCCTCGGCGCCCAAGACCAACACCGTCTCCTCTCTGTTGCGCCATAATTTGCGCCCTCGGCGGCCGAGAATAAAACCGTCTCCGGTCGGTTGCGCCATAGGTTGCACCCTCGGCGGCCGAGAGTAAACCGTTCCCTATCGGATGCGCCATGCTGCTCCTTCGGCGGCCGAGAACACCAGTCTCTCCAGTTCAATTCAACTCAGGTCAGTTCATTCAGTCTACCTCGCGAGAAGCAAATTTGGGTTACGTCTGGCATGAAAACAAAAAGCCTCCTATCGGTTGCGCCATCGGATGCGCCCTCGGCGGCCGAGAATTGAACCGTCTCCGATCGGTTGTGCCATAGGTTGCGCCCTCGGCGGCCGAGAATAAAACCGTATCCCATCGGTTGCGCTATACGTTGCGCCCTCGGCGGCCGAGACTAAAACCGTCTCCCATCGGTTGCGCCATAGGTTGCGCCCTCGGCGGCCGAGAATAAAACCATGCCCTAGCACCATAGGTTGCACCCTCGGCGGCCGAGAATAAAACCGCTGCCTATCCGATGCACCATCAGTTGCGCCCTCGGCGGCCGAGGGCAAAACCGCCCCCCATCAATTGCGCCATACGTTGCGCCCTCGGCGGCCGAGAATAAAACCGTCTCCCAGCAATTGCGCCATAGGTTGCGCCCTCGGCGGCAGAGAATAAAACGGCGCTCCCTATCGGTAGGACCATAGGTCGTGCCCTCGGCGGCCGAGAACAAAACCGTCTCTTATCGGTTGCGCCACAGGTTGCGCCCTCGGCGGCCGAGACTAAAATCGCCTCCTATCGGTTGCACCATGGGTTGCGCCCTCGGCGGCCGAGAATAAAACCGTCTCCGATCGGTTGCGCCATAGGTTGCGCCCTCGGCGGCCGAGAGTAAACCGTTCCCTATCGGATGCGCCATGCTGCTCCTTCGGCGGCCGAGAACACCAGTCTCTCCAGTTCAATTCAACTCAGGTCAGTTCATTCAGTCTACCTCGCGAGAAGCAAATTTGGGTTACGTCTGGCATGAAAAAAAAACGCCTCCTATCGGTTGCGCCATCGGTTGCTCCCTCGGCGGCCGAGAATGAAACCGTCTCCCATCGGTTGCGCCATAGGTTGCGCCCTCGGCGGCCGATCGTCGAACCGTGTCCAATCGGCTGCGCCATGGGTTGCTCCCTCGGCCGCCGTGAGTGAAACCGTCTCCGACTGCTTGCGCCGCAGGTTGCGCCCTCGGCGGCCGAGAATAAAACTGTCTCCTCTCGGTTGCGCCATAGGCCGAGGATTCAACCGTTCCCTATCGGTTGCGCCACAGGTTGCGCTCTCGGCGACCGAGAATCAAACCGCTTCTTATTAGTTGCGCCATGAACTACGCGCTCGGCGGCCGAGAGTAAAACTGTTTCCGATCGGTTGCGCCATCGGTTGCGCCCTCGGCGGCCGAGAATGAAACCGTCTCCTATCGGTTGCACCGCAGGTTGCGCCCTCGGCGGCCAAGAATGGTTTCTCCTCCCGCGGCAAGGCGCGCAGCCCACCCGATCCGCACCAGCTCCGCCTTGCAGCTGGTGGCCCGTTCGCCGCCACGGAGGCGCCCGCAGACGGCGGGCCTCGACGCTGCTGCACGCGGGGGCTGGTTGCCCGCGCAGCACCTGAAAGAAAGAGAGGAGTGCGCGGGCTAGTCACGGGGCAGAGGCTTGCCCGACCGCGGGTCGAGCCCCCTGCGGATCTTGTCGGCCTTCCTCTCGCGCCCTGCTTGCGCGGAGGCCCTCTTAGCCTTCTCACACCGGCCCGACAGGCACGTTGTTTGCCCTTGATCTCCCCGGCATGCTGGCTGTAGCGCACGCGCGCCCTGTATCCGAAGAAAGTCCTCAGCTCGTGGCCCAGGGCGTCGGCCTCGCCCTTGGCACCCTCTCGGGCTCGGAGAGCTGCGGGATGGGCTGCGGGGTGGGCGCGCTCCGCTGGCTGCCCTCGGGGAGCGCCGCCCCGCTGCTGCTGCTGCCGCCTGCAGGCGCGGTGGGCCCTTCCTCCGAGCCCTCGCCCTGCGCCGCCGGGGACCGCAGCCGTCTCCAGCGCCGACGCCGCTGGGCGCTTCCGCGCACCGCTGACGGCGTCTGGCGCGAATGGCTCGGCGCGGCTTTCGCCTGCCATCAGCAGACGCTCGATGCCCATCTCGGTGTAGGCGGCGCGCAAGCAGCGGCGGCAATGGGCGCCACCTTTGATGGAGACCACGTCGTGCTGCACCACCGTGAGCTTGGGCCCTTTCCCAGTGGGCTCGCAATAGCCGTCGGCGAAGTCCTCCCCGAGCTGCGCCGCCTCGACGCCTGCCACAGCGACCCAGTAGACCATGGCGCCTAGCGCGAGCTCTCTCGCCCCCCTCGACGCTCGCGCCTCAGCTGGCGCCCTGAACAGCTCCGCCACGTACTTCGCGCACCTGTCCGCCTCGTAGTTGCCCCGGCGCCGCCGCAGCGAAATCTCGCCAGCGTCCACGTCGGCGAAAGCCCCGTGCCCTTTTACCTTCAAGATGGCGAGGCCGCCGCTGCCAATGCCCCCGGAATCGTACAGGGCAAGCCAGATCCTCCTTCAGATCTCGGCCCAGGCAGCTTCGTGGGCGGAAGTGCCCTCGCGCCCTCGCTCGAGCAAGCCGTCGGCCACGAAGGAGGCATCAAAGTAAGCGCGAATTGGCGCCACCGAGTGCCGAAGGATGGCCAGCAGCGCGAGCAACTCAGCACCATCGATGGTTTGCAGCGGCCCAGGCAGCGGCGCCCCCAGAGCTTCGACGCACGAGCGGGGCCCAGGGTTCGTGCCCTCGTCCCCTGGTGGTAGCTCCACTGCAGCGCATGCCGCCATTGTCATCGAGGTACCCGCCTCGTAGCAGCAGCCGTCGGCGAATGCCTCGGTGTCCATGACTGGCACGCCGTCACCTCTGATCCATTGCAGCCCGTCCAGGAGGTCGTCGCCAGGGGGCCTCCGCGAGCGCATCGGCTCCGCCAGTAGCAAGCGCTCAACCATGGTGGTGATGGTGATGCTGGACTGGAAGCTCTCGGACTTGGCGATCTCGGTGGGCAGGGAGAGGGAGGGCCAGGCTTCCTCGCAGAACAAGTGCCTGTGCCAGAGCGTGCCCTCCTCCATGGGGTGGCGCTGGCAGATCGGGGTCGGCGCCAGACGCGGGGCCGCCTCGCACCTCCGCTTGTTGAGCCACTGCCCCTTGACCACCGTGAACCTTGCGTAGCTCCTCTGCGCCTCGTTGAGCGGGGTCCACTTCCTGCTCTCGTGCGTCGTGCCCTTGCCGCTGTGAATGCAGCGTCGCATCTGGGAGAGGAAGGCCCCATTGGCGATGTCGCTGCGGGTGTCGCGCGCCAGCTGCTTCATCTGCCAGCGGGTGACGTCCGCCTTGAGCACCTGCTTGGTGTGCCACGGGGAGGTCTCCGCCACGTGGTGTGCGCCCGAGTCGCGTGGCCCTGCGCCAGGTCTCGAAGTCTTGGATCTGGTAACAAACGCGCTTGAGGGAAACGATGGCTGCTCCTGGCAGGCCCCTCACCTGCGCCCACTGCTCGATGCCCTTGAAGTGGTTGAAGGTGGTGTTGAGTGTGTTGAGCGGCGACCAGCGCTCCCAGATGGCCCTGGGCAGGGCGCGCACTGGCGCCGGCGTGGCGGTGAAGATGGGGTCGATCTCCTTCGGCCCCCCGAACAGCATGCAAGCTGTGGTAGACTTGCCCTGCGGGCGAGGCTCCACCGCCTTGATGACCAAGGCCCGCGTCTGCTTCAGCTCGTAGTCGGACATGCCTGTGCAGGAGGTGCCGTGCGCGACACTGGGGATGATGCCCGCGTAGGCAACCCTTGCTGCCGCTTGCCGTCCTCGCCGAAGTCCCAGCAGCCGCCGCAGCCGTGGGAGTCGCTCACGAGCCTGCTTAAGCCTCGCCTTCCTGGCCTCGGTGCTGCGCTTGCCAGCCGCCGTGCGGTCCACGCCCAGGTTGCGAGCGTGGGAGGCTCCGATTACTCCTGCACTCTGGAACAGCCTGTCCTGGATGCGCTTGCGAAGCTTTGCGCTGGAGGCCAGGGCCCTCGGCTTCTTCGCGGCGACCTTGAGCTTCGTCTTGGCGAGCTCCTTAACCAGGAGCTTGGTGCCCTGGATCAGGTCCAGCTCGACTTTGTCGTTGCCTCCCCACCGCCGGAGAACCAGGTCGTCGACCACCGCCGCTGGCACCGCAGTTGCTGCCCTGAGGTGGAGTGCGCCCAGCGGCCCGATGAGCATTATCTTCACGCAGGTGGTGGCGAAGGCGTCTCCCGCAAGGGCCGTCTGCAGGACGTGCAACTCGTTCGCGCAGCACCCTTCCAGGCTGACCACCCTCGGCGCGCGGTGGAGGTTGATCTGCAGCTTGGCCAGCCATAGAAGGAAGTTGTACTTCTGACGCGCGTGGGGGAGCTCGCGGTGCATGATATGCTCGCAGGCCTTCCACAGGTCGAGGATGGAGGCCGAACCCCAGTTCTGCTGCGATTTTACCTGGCTGAGCATGTGCACCCACTCAGCGCGCGCCTGCTGCTGCCGCGCGGCCCTGTCGCAGCTGCGTCCCGAGCTAGCCCGCCAATTGCTGCGCGGGTTGCCCTCCTCCCACTTCTTGGCGATGGGCCTGCGAAGCCTGCCGTGGATGCGGACCAGGGCGCTCGGCAAGGCGATGGGGCGCAGGCCTCTGGGTGTCTTCGGACTGAAGGCAATCTTGGCGATGAAGTCGGGCCACTCGCGCCGCTCCACGATTGCCGCTATGAGGTCGATGAGCCCCTCGACGCCCTCGTTGCCCAAGAGCTGCAGCTCCCTGGGGCGGAGGGGGTCGAAGGGGGAGCCCGTGGCCTCCTTGAAACTGCCGATGACCTTCCTGGTCGCGGAGGTCGCCCCCCTAGTTGCTCGGGCCAGCTGACGCCGCCGAGCGCTGCGTCGCCCCCGTTGCGCTTGGGAGCCCCCGACCCCCAGTGCCCCGACCACTCCTTGACGAGAGCAGCGACGGCCTCCTGCAGCGAGGGAGGGGGGCCGTCTTGACCGCCGCCGAGCGGTCGAGGGACCCAGCCCATGGGGGGGCTTGGTGAGGGCGTGGGGGGCCCCCGAACCCTTGGCGCGGTTCTCGAGGACCCAGTCGTTGCACCCCCGCTTCCCGCGCTCCATCTCGCTCTCGATCGGAGCGTCCGCCTCGGCATTGGCGTGGGAGCTGATGACCTGCAGCGCGCCGGCGTCGGGCGAGTCGATCAGCTTGCTGATGGCGGCGAGGGTGCTCGTGATGTGCTCGCGGCCCTTGGAGATGTCGCCCCTGTTGGTCTCGCGCTGCCGTGGCAGGTAGCGCGCCGCCCTCGGGGCTCGAATGCGTCTGGGCGGGAAGGCCACCTGCGCCGTGTCCTTTTAAAGCGATGGCCATGCTCTTGATCCACAAGGTGCCCTTGCTGACTTCTGGAAGTCGCGGAGGGCTCGGAATGGCGACCTTAGCCCTCTCGAGCGCAAGCCGTTGCGCTCTCCCGCTGTACTTGCGGTGCTCGAACGCTAGCCCCATGGCGTCAGCTATGTTCCACTCTGCCTGGTACATGAAGAGCTGCCACTTCGCGTTGACATTGGAAGTGGCACCCATAGCGGCACGGGCGGCGATCCAGAGGCCCTCGTGCCCCTCGGCGAAGCATGCCGACAGAGTAGGAAACGTGAATCGCTCCGGGCTGCCCATGACCTGCATGCGCCTCGCCACCGCAGCGCCGTCAACCGTGAGCTGGACGGGGCAGTGCGGCGCCACGTTCCAGCCGTGCAGCACCTTCGCGTGGGCCGTGCCGAAGTCGGCGCTGACCAACCAGTAGTCGATGATGCGCCCTCCTGGGCGACACGTGCCCTCGCCGGAGGCGATGATCTTCAGCTTGAGCACCCCCAGGAAGCCCGACTGCGCTAGCTCGCGCGGCTCTATGTTGAGGTCGCCTCCGATGATGACTGGCTTCCCCAGCATCTTGACCAGGCTGTAGATGGCCTTCAGCTCCTGGAAATCGAATTCCGACATGCCCTCGTTGACCTTGAGGTACACGTTAACCCGCGCGATCCCGCCTGGGACCGCGCCAGCGAAGTGGGCGATAGAAGCACGCCCTGGAAAGCATGCAGTCGCCCTTTCGCAAGAAAGCCCCGAGCCCATGCACTCGCGGAGTTAGCTTAAGCAGCTCTCCGTGCCCTCGCTGCTGCTGCTGAACGCCAGCCGCCGGTGCCGCGAGGGCATGCCATCCGTCTCGCTTGAGCTTGTTGGAGACCTCCTTGCACCTCTCGTCGCTGAGATGAGTCCCCTGCGCGCCGATAAAGTCCACGTTGAGAATGTCATTCGTCTGGAGAAGAGCCTCAAACCTGCTGTAGGCGTTGGCGTTGATGGTCAAGGCGTTCCACCAACGCCGCTTGCGACCCTTGCCCAGGAGACTGCCCGCGCTTGGGCTTATTGACGGCGCGGAGGGTCTCCAGGGCGTCTGCGATGCGCTTGCGCTTGGCGTCATCGGCGCAAGCCCCCAGCAGGCCACCAGGACCAGCCTGGGCCATGAAGGTGTCGAGGGCCTCTTCGGGCGGTGCCTCCGCAGCGGTTCCGTCTCCAGGGACACCTCCTCTTCCAGGATGGACGGCAGGCGCTGGTGGCGCATCTCCAGCTGATGGCTGCCTTGCGTTCTTGCTTGTCTCCTCGAGATTGGCGATGGCCGTGGGCAGGGCCTGCGCGACTCCGCCAGGGGACAAACCGTCGACCTCCAGCGTGCCGAGGAAGTCGCGCAGCTTCTTGCCGTCAATGCCCTGGTCCCGCTGCTTGGCACCGTAGAGCTTGGCGGCCTCCTGCTTTGCGTTCGCCAGTTCTTCCTCCAACCTAGCCATGTCGGCCTCCTGCTCCGCGATGGTCGCCAGGAGCTTAAGCGCATTGTCTTTGTTCGAGGCGAGCTTGTCCTTCGCCGTCTGCACCGCCCTCGCGGCCTTGTCCACCGCCTGAGGAGCTTCTCGCCCTGCAGCCCCGAGTACACCAGCAGCAGCAGCGCGCCGAGCGCTGTCAACTTTCCGGCGAGAGGAGATGGAGAGCGCTACCTTGGTCTTCTCGTAGGTGCCTGCGGGGAGCGCTGCCCAAGTCTGGATCCCCTTAGGACTGAGGGACGCGCCCGCCGAAACTTGCTGCTGCGGTCGGCCTCCAGGCGTGGGCCAGTTTTTCCATGCACGCTGCCGCAGCTCCTTGGCCCAGTTGTCGGCTCCGTTCGGCCCACCGACACGCCAGGGCTGAAGAGCAGCACGCGACTGTCCACATCCACCATTCTGCTTTCGCCCCTTGGTATTATACTCGCCACATCCACACCTCCAGTACGTCGCCATGGCCGAGGCAACAGCATTCGGAGAGCGAGGACACAGCGGGCGAGTAGGCCATACGTCCGTCTAGCAAAAGCTTTCGGGGCTAGCCGTGGACTAGCGATACCCGCTTCCTTCCCAGGGGAAGGCATCGCCTTGAGCCAACATGGCTACGGAACTCGGCGGCCAAGAATAAAACCGTGTCCTATCGGTTGCGCTATAAGTTGCGCCTTCGGCGGCCGAGAACAAAGCCGTTTCGTAACGGGCGCAACCTGTCTGTTCAGTTCATTTCAGTTCAATTCGGTCAGTTTACCTCGCGAGAAAATTCGGGCTACGCCCGCAAAAAGGCGAGACACAAACCTGCCAACAAATTTGCCAATCAGCCAATCAACTCCACCAACCAACCAACCAACCTAGCCGCGCAGCAATCAAACAGGGCGGCCAGCGGCGGGGGGCGAAGCCCTTCAGATAGAAGCCAGACGCCCTGACAGAGGAATGGGGAGCAACGAATAGGCCCCGTTCATTGCTCCTCCAATCCGAATATGATGGCCGAAGGTCGTGGCACGCACGGCCTATTGCCTATTTTCCGCCTGCATCATGTATTGGATTCATGCGGGTCTCCCCCGCGTTCGGCCCTCTGTTCCCAATCGAAGCTCCAACCCCTCGTCGCACCCTTCGTGGCGGATTCCACCCCTTTGCCCATCCACTTACCTCCCTTCATTTGGAGATGTGACAATGACCGACGCATCGGTACCAGACTACATGTCGAGGTCATGCCACGAACATCGAACATCAATGCAAATGTAGGGCAATACGCAGAACCAAATCGCAAATCACAAATCCCCCACCGATACGCCCCAAAGCAACACCGTTAGCTTGCCTTCCATTATCAAACCTTTCCTAACATCTACTCTTCCTCCCTTCATTCGATCGATGGTCCGATCGCGAAATCGCTATTTTGAAGAGTAGGCGTGTAAGCAAAGTGATTTGCTTGTGTCGGTCATGATTCTGCTTCGTGTGAAAATGGCGAGCTCAAAGTTAATAGTTCAGGAGGGACGAACTGTGGTTTGTAGTACCTTTGCGAACTATTGTACGCTTGCGTCGAAGCACGCATGTCGAATAACAGCTTACACATCCAGTTACATTGGGGCCTTGAATTCTGGAAGGCAATCACACCAAAAGGTCTTACTACACCAGTCCTGGTCGAACATCGTGGCACAGACTGCGTGGATCGTGCCATCGAACAGCGAGGGGTGGATGACGTAGCCGACATTGGTGACGTCTGGGGCCAACTGCATCCTGCACGAGATCTCGTCCTTGCTCCGCACCATGCCACTGATGACTTGGAATTTGGGTCCGAGCCAGAGCCCGGTGCTGTCCACTAAGGGGTACAACTTGGCAGAATCCACAGACTCTGGACAGCGCGCGCGGACCACCGCCTCGTCCTCCGGCTGTGCTGGTGTCTCGGAGGAGATAGTAATCTTGCCCTCGCAATGCACGGTCCATTTGTCGTCGCCAGGGCCCTGGCTGCGGAGTTCGAACTTCTTGTTGCCGATGATGGCCAGGCGCATCCAGGTCTGCTTGTCGTCGCAGTCCCCGTCTTTGGGCACCACCAGCGGCCACACCATCTGCACGTCCCTCAGCTGAACTCCGTCGCCCAAATGCGCCCTGGTAGCCTCCGTGGCCATCTCCACGAACACCACGCCAGGCACGACGATCTCACTGTAGACGACGTGCTCCCCAGCCACTGCGAAGAGGTCCGAGCGCACGGGGACGTCGAAGTGCACCTCCTTGTCGTTCCCACCGCGCCTGCGCAACATTCGTGGCCCAGCGTCGCGCCAGGGGAATGGTGACCTCTTGTACTTCAAGGGCGCCAGTCCGCCGCGAATCACAGCCTCGGCCTCTGCCACCGACTGCTCGTCTGTGCCGGCGCCGTCCCTAGCCTCCAGGGAGGAAAGCCAGTCGTAGCTCTTGTCGCTCTGCACGCAGCGCTTGCCCATCTTCACGAGCGTGGGTTCTGGCCCCACTTCTAAGAACACGTCCAAGCTGGTGGCCTCCAACGCGGCCATGCCGTCGGCGAAGCGCACCGTGCGCTCTACGTGGTTCACCCAGTACTCTGGGTCGCTCAACTCCTTCGACACCTCCTTGCCGGTGACCGTGGACACGAAGCGGCAGCCCTTCGGCTCAGAAAGATTAACCTTGGACACCTCCTGCCTGAACGCGGCCAACATCGGGGCCATCAGGGGGGAGTGGAAGCCGTGCGAAACGTTCAGGGCCCTGTTCCCTGCGCCAGTGGCCTCGACCACCTTGGTTACCGTCTTGCTCCTGCCGGACACCACGCACAGCTTGGGGCCGTTTACGCCGGCGATCGCCACGTCCTGCTTCTCTTTCTTCGTCAGTGACCCGATCGCCTCATTCACTGCCTCCTCTGGCGCAAAGACTGCTACCATGCCACCGACACCGGCCTCACACTTTTCCTGGATGAGGCGCCCTCGGGCGGCGATGAGCCTCGCGGCATCCTCGAGGGACATTACGCCAGTGGCGACCGCAGCGGCATACTCGCCGACGCTGTGGCCCAGGACCGCGCTTGGCTGGACGCCCTTGGCCTTCCACATCGCCGCCAAGGATACCTCCACCGAGAATATGGCTGGCTGCGAGTACTCGGTCTGGTCAAGGAGACCCTTTTGCTCTGCTTTCTCCTCGAACATCACCTCGAGCAGTGGGACCTTGAGCAAAGGATCCAGCAGCTTTGCGCACGCGTCGAGCGTCGCGCGGAATGTGGCGTCCGCCTCGTAGAGCTGCTTGCCCATGCCGACGTACTGAGAGCCTTGACCAGTGAACAGGAAGCCTACTTGGCGCACGCTAGCTCCATCGGTTGTGCTAGCCTTCTTCGTTGCCTGGGTCGAATGCTTGAAGATCACGTGCGCGTTGGTGCCTCCAAAACCGAAGGACGACAGGCCAGCGGAGAGATCCGTGCCCTCCAGGGGTGTCATGGAGGTGGGGACGATCACTTGGAAATCGTCCAGCTCGATCGTGTGGTTCAACTTCCCGAAGTGCACATTCGGGGGCGCCTCGCGGTGCACCAAAGTCTGCATGCACTTGACCAGGCCCGCGATGCCCGCGGCGCCCTCGAGATGCCCTATGTTGGTCTTGACCGTGCCCAGCACCACGGGAGAGCTGCGGCCCGCGCTCAAGACGCCCTTCAACGCCCCAACCTCGATGGGGTCGCCCAGCGCAGTGCCAGTCCCGTGGCACTCGACGTAGTTCACGAGGGAGGCCGCCACGCCCGCTTGCTGCAGCGCCCTGCGCACCACCTCCTGCTGCGCGGGGCCATTCGGCGCCGTGAGGGTGGAGCTGCGGCCATCCTGGTTAGTCATCGTGGAACCGACCTCGGGCAGGGTGCTGTCCGTGAGGTTCTTCGCCGCTTCCATGTGCAGCGCGCCGCAACCCTCGCCACGCGCGTAGCCGTTGGCGGAGTCGTCGAAGGTCTTGCAGCGGCCGTCTGGCGAGAGCATGCGGGCCTTGCTGAATGCGATGAAGGGCTCGGGGATGAGGTTGAGCTGCACGCCCACGCAGAGCGCGAAAGGGAGGTCCACATGCACCTTGTTCGCCGCAATATCCAGCGCCACCAGCGAGGAGGAGCACGCGGTGTCCACCGAGGCGCTGGGCCCCCTCAGCCCGAGGCTGTAAGACACGCGATTGGAGGTGATCGAGCCGTGGGTGCCTGGACCTGTGTACGGATTGGCCCCGCGCTCCGTGGAGGACTTGGCCCAGTCGTGGTTGCACTGGCCGACGAAAACCCCCGTGTTCGAGCCGAGCAGCTGGCCCTTGTCCACGCCTGCAGAGTGGCAGGCCCAGAAGGCGACCTCGAGGCAGAAGCGCTGCTGCGGGTCGATGGTCTTGGCCTCTGCTCCGGACATGCCGAAGTGCTGCGCGTCGAAGAGCTCGGCGCCCTCGACGAAGCCGCCGTGCCGGGCATACATGAAGTTGCCGCCAGCGTCCTGGTCGGGGTTGAAGTACTCGAGCACGTCCCATCGCATATAAGGGATCTCGATGACGGAGTCCGTCTTCTTCACCCATCGGCTCCAGCCCTCTTCGACGCCGTCGCCGCCAGGGAACCTGCACGCGAGCCCACGGGAGACAACCCGCATGTCGCCCGCCGACTTCGGGGCGGCGGTCGCAGGCGCCGCCGTGTCGGCTGCAATGGGCGCCAGAGAGTCGGTGACCAGCGCGGACACTGCGCGCAGCGTCGGGTGGTCGAACATGAGTGTGTTCGGGAACTTCATGAAGTTGCACTCCGCGGACAGCCGGTTCCGGAACTCCACCGAGGAGAGGGAGTCCATGCCCGCTGCCATGAGCGGCTCGTCGAGCGCCACCTCGGAGCCGACGACGTCGGCGGCCACCGAGCTGATCCACGTCACGACGCTCTCGGGGCTCATCATGGCGGCCTCGGCGCCAGTGCCAGCGCCAGCCTGCCCACCAGACGCGGCAACGCTAGAACCCCTGAACTTGGAGAAGTAGGATGGCACGTTGGGGAACTGCTTCAGGTAGCCAGGCCACTGGACCAGCGCGCAGCCAAGCACGGGGCCGCCTGCGGCGGGGTCGAGCGCGGCCGACAGCACTGACAGCCCGAGTTCGTTGCTGATGCCACCCAGCTTCAGGCGCTGGAACGAGTTGTTCTGCGCGGCCATGCCCACGGAGAGCCAGGGGCCCCATTGCACGCTCTGTGCCGGCTGCCCTTCATGCCGCCAGTGCTGGGCAAGCCCGTCCAGGCAGGCGTTGGCCGATGAGTAGTTCGCCTGGCCCGCCGCGCCGAGCAACGCCGCGGTCGAGGAGTAGACGACCAGAAAATCCAGGGGCGCGCCCGCCAACGCGTTGTGCAGATGGCGCGCTCCGCCCACCTTGGGCGCGAAGCCCCTCTCGAAGTGGCCGCGGGTCAGCTGAGGCACGAGGGCGTCGTCAAGAATGCCAGCAAGGTGCAAGGCACCGTGCACAGGGTTTTTGAGGTCCGCCTTCAGTTGCTTCTTCAACGACTCCGCGCTCTTGGCGTCGCCGATATCGCACTTCCATGCCAGGACGTCCGCGCTTGAGGCCTGCAACCACTTCCACTGCGACTCAACCTCGGCGGCGGCTTTTCCGCTGCGAGATAGGAGCACCATGCACTTGGCGCCCTCCTCGGCCATGGCCTGCGCCGTGACGACACCCAGCGCACCCATGCCGCCAGAGAGCACGTAGCCGGCCGCAGGCTTCAGCCCCATGCGGGGCGGCGCTGTAAGGACCACCTTGCCAATCTGCGCTGCCCTCTGCAGGAACGACATCGCGGCAACTCCAGTCTCCAGGCCCTCGTAGCACGTCACGGGCAGTGGCTTCCAGGACCCGCCCTGGAGCTCGTTCTGGAGTCGCTTGAGGAGCCCCTGGTACCTGTCCGGCTCGAACTCGCAGACGTAGTCGATGGCGAGCAGGTGGTAGTCGACCGTGGGAAACTCTTTCTTCACCTCTTCCACGGTCCAAACGTCTCGTTTCCCAATCTCGACGAAGCGACCGCCATTCTTGAGCAGGCGAAGTGAGCGTGGGATGAAACCGAGGTGACTCATGCTGTTGAGGCAGACGTCGATCTTCTCCTTTCCGAGGAACTTGAGCATGTCGGCCTCGAACTCGTCGTCGTTCCGAGAGCTGGTGATGTACTGCACACCGAGCCCGCGCAGGTGGTCCTGCTTCTCCTTTTTGCCTGCTGTGGCGTACACAATCGCGCCCATGCGCTGGGCGTATTGCACGGCAACGAGGCCAACGCCGCCCGTCGCCGCGTGGATAAGCACGCGCTCGCCCTTTTTGAGCTTCGCCAACTCCCGGAAGGCCACGTCCACCGTCGTGTAGACCGTGGGTAGCGCCGCCGCATCGGCCGGGGTCCAGGTGTCGGGTTGCGGCACCAGCAGCTGCGCTTTCGTGGACGCGTACGTCTTCAGGCAGCCCCACACGATGCCCACAGAGGTGTCGCCGCAGCGTAGCTCGTTCTTCTCGAGACCCTCGCCCATGTTGACCACTGTGCCAGAGCAATCGAGGCCTGGCTCGCCCGGGTCGCCGGGGTACAAGCCCATCACGTTCAGGACGTCGCGGAAATTGAGGCCAATGGCCTTCACCCGCACCTCGATGTCGCCAGCAGACGGTGACTTGCGCTCGGTCTGGGGTACCGGCCTCAGATTCTGCAGGCTGCCGCGGCGAGCCATCTGCAGGCGGAGGGGCCTCTTGGGGACCACGTCGCTGCGTGCCAGCCGCGACGTCAGCGCCTCGCCGCCGCGCACGCCGAGCTCGGCCTCGGACGCCAGCAAGGCGCTCGTGACGGCGCCCGCGTCTGAGCCGCCCGACAGATCTACGCAGGTGACCGGCAAGCTCGTGATCTCCAGCCGAAGCGCCCGCGCGAAGCCCCAGATGCCGGAGTGCTCCGGGTCCACGTCCATTCCAGCCTTCACGGCTTGAGCACTGGTCGTGACAAGGACCACACGGGGCAGATCGCCGTCCTTGCTCGTGACGGCCTGCACTAGCCTCAGCATGCTGTCCAGCGCGTCCACCTGCTCACCAGCGGCCTCCAGCACGATGGTGGCCAACTCGCCGTCGACCTTCTTCAGGGCGTCCTCGATGGTGGCGGCCGCTGCGCACTTGGTCGAGTCGAGTCCCAACACCGCCTGGATGGCGTCTGAGCGGCCGCTGACAACGAGCACCTTGCCGTGCGCGCCGCCGGCAACCTGCGGCGCGGGGATCCACTCGCGGCTGTACAAGCACCCCTCGGAGCCGTCCGCCTCCTGGGGCTTGCCCTCGGCACGGCGGCAGCTCGCGCCCTCCAAGCGGCACGCGAGCTTCCCGTCCGCGCTGACAACCTCCACGTTCGCTGTGAGAGACGTAGCCGTCGACTCCAGGATCCTCACGGTGGCCCACAGCTCGCCCGAAGGGCAGTTGGCCGCAACGACCGCGCGCTTGACTGCGAAGGGCAGGTACGTCGCGGGCGTCTCCGACTGGCGCGACGCACTCTCCACCAGCAGCTGCAGCGCGCCGTCGAGCAGCGCGGGGTGCAGCAGCTGCAGGCAGCGCTCCCAGAGCGTCGTCTCATGGCCCAGGCGCGCTACAGCGCCATCCTTGCTGAATGCGCATTCTCGAAGCACCTGGAAGGAGGGCCCATAGCCCAACCCACGCTCGTCGAAACTTGCGTACAAATCCTTGATGCAATCTGGTGAGGGCTCGCCACATAATTTCCGCATCTCCGGAAGATGGTCTGCCTCGCTGGCGGGGAGCCCAATGACCCTCGACTGTCCAAAGCGGGCGTGGACGGTCACGTCGCCATCCTTCGGTGAGCTCGAGACCTCCGTGCCATCCTCGGACACCCGGCAGTGCAGCCGTACGCCACCGTCTTCTGGTACCAAGAATGGGCGCTCGAAGACCGCGTCCGTGACCTCCGCGCAGAAGCCCCCAGAGATCACCAAGCGGGCAGCCGCCGCAAGGAGGATGTGGCTGGCGCCGGGCAGCACGACCTCCCCGAACACGCAGTGCTGCTGGAAGAGCTGCATGGCCGGGCCCGAGCTCAGCGGGGCGTCAGAGCTGAACGACGTGGCCCCGCCCTCCTGCACAGGTGCGCCCAGCAACGGATGCAGCAGCGGGGCACGCCACGGCATGGCTACGGGCTTCAGCTCGGAGGGCCGAGCACCCGCAGTGGCGCCGAGGGCCCTGCGTACGCGCAGCACCTCCTGAACGTCGTCACGCCCTGGCTGGATGCTTGCCAGCCACTCGAACCCGTCCGCTCGCTCGCCCACACAACGGCGGCCCATCTTTACGAGCACGGGCTGCGGGCCGATCTCCACGAAGGCGGTGCACCCCATCCTCTCTAGCGTCTCCATGCCCTGCAGGAAAAGCATCGGGCGAGGCTCGTCATGCCCCACCCAGTGCGCCGCGGTGGCAAACTTGTCCTTTTCCTCGCTGCCCGACAGTATCGAGACCATCTTGCAGGCCGTCGGGGGGCTCAGCTTGCAGCTCGCGACCGCCTCGCGCAGCTCTGGCAAGATCGGCTCCAGGAGCGGGGAGTGGAACGCATGCCGAGTGCTGATGGTGACGTGGTTCGCCTTCACGTTCTCGCATACGGAGGCCACAGCGGCCTTGGTGCCAGAAACCATGGTCGCGGACGGGCCGTTGATGGCTGCAATCACGGCGACGCCGCCCTTCAGATCGGCCTGCTCGATGGCAGCTTGGACGACGCCCCAGGAGGCGAAGATCGAGGTCATGCAGCCAGCGTCCTGATCGACCAGCTTCTCGGTCAAGTGGCCGCGGGCGGCCATCAGGCGCAGGCCGTCCTCCACCGACATCACTCCTGCGTACACCGCCGCGGCGAACTCGCCGACGCTGTGCCCCATCACCGCGTATGGGACGATGCCCTGGGCGCTCCACATCTTGCCGAGGGCGTACTCCAGCGAGAAGATCGCCACTTGCGAATACAAGGTTGTCTCGAGCTTGGTCGCCATCTCCCTGTCCTCGGGGAACATGACGTCCAGCAGATTCTCCTGCAGAAGAGACAGATCCTTGCAAATGTCCCGACACTGGTCCAGCGCCGACCGGAAGACCTCGTTCGTCTTGTAGAGGCGCTTGCCCATGTCGACCTGTTGAGAGCCCATGCCAGTAAAGAGGAACGCGATCTTGTGCTCGATTGCCTGCTGTGGGCCGCTCGATTTCGGTTGCGCCATCATAGCGTGTGCGTTGGTGCCGCCGAAGCCGAAAGATGAGACACCCATGATCGCCCCCTTCTCGGGCAACGCCGAGACCGACTCTGGGACAACGAGCCGAGAGTTGTCGATGCTCATGTGCGGGTTGAGCGCAGCGTAGTGGACGTTCGGGGTGACCTGCAGGTGCTGTAGGCACGTCCAGACCTTGAGCATACCTGCGAAGCCCGCCGCGCCCTCCAAATGGCCGTGATTAGACTTTCCAGCGCAGAGATAGAGCTCAGGCGCATGCGCGGACGGCGTGCCCAGGACCGCCTTGAGCGCGCCGACCTCGATGGGGTCGCCGAGCTCGGTGCCTGTGCCGTGGCACTCTATGGCGGCCACCGAGGCAGACTCCACGCCACCATCGCGCAGCGCCTGCAAGACGACCTTCTCCTGCGCTGGGCCGTTGGGGGCGGTTAGCGTTGCGCTCTTGCCGTCCTGGTTCATGACCGCGCTCTTCACGTCCGCCAGCACTGTGCAGCGGCCGTCTTCGGCGTCTCGCAGGTGCGTGATCACACCAGCACCTGCACCTTCGCCCCTGATGTAACCGTCCGCTGTCGCGTTGAAAGTCTTGCAGCGACCCGCTCCACTGAGCATGCCTGCCACCGAGCGCAGCACGAACGAGTTCGGGCCGTGCAGCAGCTCTGTCGCCGCCACCAGCGCCTCGTGCACCGCCCCGCCGCCGACGAGGCAGTGCATAGCCGCGCTCATGGCCGAGATGGAGGATGAGCAAGCTGTGTCGACCGTCATACTCGGCCCGGTGAGGCCGAACGAGAACGACACCCGGTTCGCGGCGATGGAGCTGGCCACGCCGGGGCCCGTGAACACACTCGGCTTCGAGAGAGACATGTGGTACCAGTCCAAGTTGCTGAGCGCGACGAACACTCCGAGCTCCGAGCCTGCGAGTGTCGCCTTGTCGTAGCCGTTGCCCTGGAGGCCTTGGTACGCGGTGTGGAGCAGAAGCCGCTGCTGAGGGTCGGTCGCCCTGGCCTCTGCGTTGCTCATGCCGAAGAAGGAGGTGTCGAAGAGATCGGCGCCTTCGATGAAGCCTGCGTGGCGGCAGTATGTCTTGCCTTCCGTCGGCTCGGAGGAGTAGTAGAGCTCATTGTCCCAGCGAGCCAAGGGCACCTCCACGACGGCATCCGTCCGAGACGACAGCGTCTCCCAATAACCACTGGTGCCATACGAGAACGGGATCTGACAGGCGGTCGACACGACAGCGAGGTCTGGCGTGTGGTGTGCAGCCCTCTCCCTTGCTACCGCCGTGGCTGCTGGTGTAGTCGGGCGGGGCGCCAGCGTGGAGAGACCGTGGTCCACCATCTCGTTGATGGTGGGGAAGTTGAACAGGAGCGTCGGCGGAAGGTCCACCTTGAGGCGCCGCTGCAGCTTTTCTCGCAGCTTGAGCGCGCCGTTGGAGTCGAAGCCGAGGTCCATCAAAGGCCGGTCCGGTTTGACAGCATCGGCTTTGATGCCGAGGATGTCCGCCACACAGTCCTTGGGGAAAACCACAAGGTACCAATACCGCTACTCCCCTGACATCTTCTGGGGTGAGTTCGTACAAGAGCTTCGAGGCGAATCCAGCGGTGGCGACGAGGGCCAGGGGAACACGAGGCGAGGGTCGCGGTATGGGCACCTCATCCTCCCCTGAGTCCTTGGCCAGGTCCACCAGCGTGCTCCGGCGCCAGAGGGGCTCCAGCTTCACCTCCACGGAGGGGTCGCCGTCGCCCTCCTGCCTGACGTTGTACTTCACGAAGACCGGGCCAGAGTCGCCCTCCTGCGAGCGCGCCAGCTCGCCCAGCGGTGCCGGGCGGCCGCTTGAGTCGGCCTGGCTCGGGTCCCCCAGGTTCTCACCGACGATCTTCGTCACTCCTGTGGAGGCCTCCTGGATGGGGTCCGAGTAGATGGGGTCGAAGGATCGCGCCGCGTCGCCAGTGCATCGCCGATGTATCGGCGATGCATCGGCGATTCGGCGATGCATCGGCGACGTCGGCGTGGGGAAACACGGTTTCCACATCGAGCCGCCTCGCCGATGCATCGGCGTTGCGGCGCGATCCTCCGACCCATCTACTCAGACCCCATCTGGGAGGCCTAGATCCTTCTGTCAAGTCCAGGCTGGAGTTGGAGCGCCACATGCTGGGCTGCGACCGGGCCTCGACGGCCTCCTCGGACACCTGCCGAGCAAAGGTTAGGGACTCCTGCGACAGCGCCTCCTGCGTGCCGAGTTCTTCCTTGATAGTCGTCGGGCCCCAGAGGTGCTGAAAGTGGACGAGGAGGAGATTGGCGTGCAATGCGAGGACGTAACGAGTGCACCCGCAAATAATCCAGCCGAGGAACAGCTCCTCACCCCAGAGCATGGTAATGAATGCTGGAACAGCGTGGCAAAACGACAAATTCCACCACACGTCGACGTCAGCTTGAAACATGACGACTTGATCCAGAACTAGGTCAGCCACATCCACCTCCTTAGAAGCCTTCAGAGCGGCCTGCGTCTTCTGCAAGATCACATAGCCCATGTACGAGAAGAAGCCCCCCCGGTCACTGTAGTACGGGTCCAGCTCGGTGCCGAGATTCTTCAAGTGGGCACGGTGGTCGCGTGACCAGCGGAAGATGCTGCCCTGGTTGGCAACGGAGCAGCACAACATGAGCGACACCTTCTGGGGCAAAGTCAACTCAATCGACCCGCACGCCCAGACGAGGTTCATGCCGACGATGCCCACCATCGAGACGACCCACAGGAAGGCCCCAAAGGCAAACGTCTGCCACTTCGGTATGGCCCCCGTCCACGGGTCCACGCCACCGAAGAAGAGCATCACCGCCAGCAGCCACGCAGTCATGTTGTGACAGCTCACGACCTGTATGAATACCGGCATGTTCAGCCTGCGCGCGATGCTGTTGCCCCCGACGCCAAAGTGGATCGCCAGCTCCTCCTGGAGCTCGGCGGCCTTGCGGGAGCCCGCGGAGCTGGCCAGTATCGGGTATAGGAAAGCCAGGGGCGCCCAGGCGAAATACCTGAATCCGATGTACACTTCCAGCAAGAACACCGCCACGACGAGCCAAAGCACCATGTCTCCCTCGCTCCACAACCACATCTCGCGAAACAAATACCGCGCGGGCTTGCCAACCGTGTGAACCAGGCGATCCCATGGGGTCTTGGGCTCCACGGCCTTCGTTCTCGAGGACCTGGACTTGGGCTTCGACGCCTGCATCCCCTTCTGGAGATTCTCCTCGGAGCCAGCCTGAGACATCGCGGCCAGGTTGGCCCCAGAGGCCGAGCGGCGCACCGTCGCTAGCTCGTTGGCAAGGTTCTTCGAGAGGCGCTGCAGCTGGTACATGGGGATCGAATGCAGTGCCACTCCGAACTGCCAGTCGTCATCGCTGCCCTCCCCCCCTCGATGCTGCACCATTGAGGACGGGTCTGCATGCTGCGCGACATCCAAAAGGTCGCTGATCTGTCCTGCGGCACCCTCCAGTTCTGGGAAGAGCAGCTCGAGGGACGACATTGATGCGCTCCTCCTCACGCCCCGGCCCGACGACTGCTCGGAGCCTTGGCTCGAGAATTTCTCGAGCACCTCCTGGGAGCCTGTCGTCGACAGCGCCGCCTGCGCGACCAGTAGCGGAAGGAGACAAAACTTGAGTAGCGACCACCAGGTCCAAACCTGCAAGAACCACAGGCTGAGGGAGATGACGATGTGCACCTCCCACCGGAGCGCGCGTCCGACCCAGAGGTTCAGCTGCTTCGAAGGAAAGAAATGCCCCTCCGCGCAGCTCTTCTGGATGAGCGAGAGCCACGACAGCGACGCCCCCTCGAGCCAAATGCCGAAGGGGATCAAAAACCATGGTGTGTGGTAGCTCGCCGTGAGCGCGATACCTAGGGAGCCCACAAAGGACGTACGCGCCCAGCTATGTACATGAACACGGCCCCTCGATCCGCGAGACCGGCCGCGTTATACGAACATTTGCGCAATGCGAACTCTCGGAACCAGCGCGGATTCATGTACATGTACGTCCTTTTTCCGCTCCTGAATACCCATGCCCAGGCACAAAGCGGCCCGCATGAGCATCCGTGCCGAGCCGCTCCCGCTGGTGACGGACAGCTTGCTGACCATCTCCGCGAGCTGCGACTGCGAGCCCGCGGCGCCCTCGGAGCGCCTCAGGCCGGCAGGCTTCGACTTCGCCTTCGACTTCGATGCGGACGAGCTCGACGCGGTGTCCGAGCGAGCCTCGGCAGGCAGCCGTCCCTTCTGACGGCGGCTCTCCATCTCCAATGAAGTGCCTGTCGGCGCCGCGCCCCAGGGGGGACGGCGGAGGGGGCGGGCACTTCGCAGAAGCCTCCGGGGGCCTCCGGCCCTCCGAGACGCAGTTCCCAGGCCTTCTCCGGAGACAGAGGCACGGCGTCTCAGAAAACCGGAGGACCTGCGAGAAGCAACGCCGCCTTCTGAGAAGGCACGTCCCCTCTCACTTCCCCACTTGGCGCGCCGCTGGGCCTGGGGCGCGTACACTGTGGGTCGCGGGCGGAGTGCTGGCGGCGCTGGTGGCTAGATTTGAAACTCGACGTCTCCCCAAGCGCCTGACAAATGAGCACTGCCGCCCACCTTGAACCAAATAGCTCGGGGCATGGTCATGGACCACGCATGCACACGCACCCATCGGCATACTCACATAAACGCATACATGCATATGTGCACGTCGCTGGAGGGACGGCACATGAGTGCAGACACTGTGGTGAAAGTCTGAGCAAGGAGTGCCGAAGAGCGAGGCCGATAGCTAGCAGAAGAAACGGACTGCATGAACATAAACTGTTGGAGGGCCGCGCGGAGCTCCGAAAGTTGACGCTTATGCGACTTCTCGCACTCGAATGGTAGGGCAGGATGCGCGGGTGTGCAGTGCCGATGGCTTGGGCGCTGGAGACAGCGACGAAGGATGAGACCGAGGGGTGCGCGGGGGTGGAGAGCGGCGCGTGCCGCCGCCGGGTCTGCAGAGCGGGCCTGCCTGCTCCAAGGCTAATTAGGCAGGCATGCGGCACGTGTGCACGCATACACTTGCACGCGCCGGGAGACCGTGAATCGTACACACCCACCGCGTCACACCGAGTTAGCATACATTCCGAAACGACGCAGCGCAACACATGGCTTCACGCGGCACTGCCTCGTGACAGTTCATGTTTGGCACATCCGATTGCAGTACCCTGCGTCACATTAAGCGTAGCCTCGACCTTGACCCTCAACTCCAACACTTATAGAAAGAACCGCGCCCCTTGCATTCTCCTTGATCGCAACGCAATGGGTACGTCACAAAGCCCCTGCGATGTCTGGTGTCGCTTTTCTCGTTCCCAACCTCTTCCTCTCCGCCCCTCCCCGTCGTGCACGCGTGCTCCCCCTCTGTTGCTTCTGCGCATATGCGCTTGCTTCGGCTCCCCCGATCTCTTCGGGCGTGGACTAACCCAGCTCAGCGCAAACCCAGCTCAACCAATTTAGAAGAACTGTGCTACAATTTGTTCGGCGGCTTCCCAAACCTGGCTCAGCCAATGTGCAGGGCCACCTCCACGGCCACGAATGGCCCCCCAAAACCGGCTCGGCCCAAATCCGGACCTCTCGGGATGCTGCAGGACCCGGCGCTCTGGCTGAGCCTCGTTTGCGCTGAAACCCGTGACCTGCCAGCTGATCCCCCCCCTTCCTGGGCCTCGTTTCGCCGATCCCCATCCCCCCTGATATTCGCCGGCCCAACGGGCCAGAGGCGTGCTAAGATCTCCGGTAACTGGTTAACAATTCTTGACGCTTCGCGTATCCCCACCAGCCCATCCTACACCAGGCACTCGAACGAAGAGCGCCGATGATCGGCAGCTGTTCTTCTCCCCCTCTTCCTCCTTCTCCTCCGCCTTCTTCCTCCTCCTCCTCTCCTCCTCCCTCTCCTCCTCCTCTTCCTCCTCCTCCTCCTCCTCTTCCTCCGCCTCTTCCTCCTCCCTGGTGGCGTCTTGGAGGTATCTTCGAACGGTTTGGTGGGCTCTTGGGCCTTGCGGGCGGGCGGGCGGCGCTCCGCCCGCCCGCGCGCAGGGCCCAAGAGGAGAGTCCAAGACGTCTCTTGGAGCCATTTAGGAGGAGATCGATCAACGAAGGAGGGTCCCTCAACTTGGCAAGCCCCCCAGGAGCTCCAAAAATCGTCTCCTGGACCCCTCTTGGATCGCTCTTGGAGCAAATCTATCAAAGGAGAGCAGAGCTTTAATTAGCGTTGCCACTCCAGACTGTCTAAAATCGTTTCCTGGACCCCTCTTGGATCGCTCTTGGAGCGCTCTTGGACGCTGTTGAGGCAGTCTTGAGGCTCTCTTGGGCCCCTGTTGGGACCCAGTTGGGACATCTTGGCGCCATCTTGAGGCCTCGGATGGGCTTCGGAAGCGAAAAAGTGAGAACACCAAAAACATTGATTTTCCCTAGGGTTTTGAAGCATTTCGGCCTTTTGAGGGCACTCTAATGATGCTCTTGTGGGCACTTGGAACCATCTTGGAGCGGTCTTGGAACGTGTTGGAGCGTCTTCTGAACCATCTTCAGGCATCTTGCGCTATCTTGAGCCATCTTGGAGGCGATCTTGGGCTCTCTGAGGCCCTCTTGGAGCCGTCCTGGGCCATCTTGGACGCTCTGACCGCTCCCCGCCCCTCCTGTCCAGGTCAGTGGGGAGGGGGGAGGGGGAGGGGTAAACCCCTCCCCGAAGGGGAAGAAGGAGGGGTGGAAGAGGAAACGCCCTAAACCACCGACGCCCAGAGGGCTGGTGGGATTCTCTAGTTCGCGCGCGCGGGGCGGTCCCTGGGGGTCCCCGGACGAAAATACCCCGGGCGACCCCCGGCTGATCCCCGGGCGACTCCACCAGAGCGCTCCATGAGCGCACCAACAGGGCTCCGAGACGTCCCCGAGAGCCCCAAGAAAGGCCAAGAGGCCCCCAAGAGGCCCCCAAGATGGTACACGAGGGGTCCGACATGCCACAAGGTCGCTCCAAGACGCCCAACATAGCCCCCAGACGCCCCAAGAGGCCTCCAACAAAGCTCCTGAGGAGCTCAAAAAGAGCAAACCCCCTATTATTATCGAAAAAATAGAAACAAGTTGCCCCCTATTATTATCGAAAACATAGAAACAAACCGCCCTCTATTAATATCATAAAAATACAGGCGGCATTCCTATTTCGCTCGTATTATTTCTGTATTGTTTTTGTATTAATAATTCCCAGCCCAAAGGCTCACAACGTATTGCCGAAAATGCTCAAAATACACAAATAATATCAAAATAATATGAAAACCGCATGCAAACCAGACAAGCTCACAACAAAAACAGCGGATCCCGCGCAGCAGTGGATATAACCAACAGAGAACGGATCGTGTGCAGCGCTTCCTCTCTTCCTCCACCTCGTTTGCTTCCCTTCCTTTGTCGTTTCCTGCCGTCGTCCCTCCTCCCCGCCCCCTCGTCCTCGCCCACCCCTGCCTACCGTCGCCTTCCTCCTCTGCTCGTCCACCTCCCTTCCGGCCCCCCACCCCTTCTAAGACTCTTCTCATCCTCCCCCTCTCCTGTTCTGGCCCCTGCCTGAGCAGAACAATCGACGCGGCCGCCGTGCGCCGGGCTCGCCGTCGCGTCTGCCGCTGCACTGCGCGCGACGCGCGCGACCTATTTGACAGAAAGCACGTCGGAGCAATGCTGGGAAAACGCGCAAACAGTGGTTTGCCCGAACCCATGAACCAGGC